TGTGCATATATATACATGTGTGTATATATATACATATACACACACACACAAGCATAATTAAAAGTAAGCAGTATGAAATGGAGATTTGCTTTCAATACTCAATTCTTTTTGCTTTGCTGTGTATATTCAAATGCCTTCTTTTGGGTATTTAAGTCCAGAATTAAAACAAAAATTTCTTCTATAGTTGTGGTGTAATATTCAGATCATGTATCCAATTTGAACTTATTGTTGTAAATAGTAGAAGTTGTGGAGCTAAGATTTCTAAGCCTAATTCTGCCAAACTTAAAGGGGGTCCTTCCCCACGGTAATTTGTTTTGGGGTTTATCAAACACTGGACTAGTTATCAAATAGGTCCTCCTATCATGCTCCATTGGACTATCCCCAGAGCAGTGCTGCAACTCTTCACCACTGCCCTCCACAAGAAATAGAACTCCTCCAAACCCTCATGATCTAACAGGAGAGAGAATACCCATCAGGGACCTTCAAGAAGAGGCTGACACAAAAGGATTGATGGTACATACATTTTCAGCAAGGATACCATTGAAAAATTGGCAGTAATTATGACAGAAAAAGCTGGAGGCCACAAACATTGCAATAAAAAAAACAAAGGAAGATGAAGATACCACAATAAATTCTGTAAGAGTCCCTGAAAATACAATAAACTCCACATTAATTCAGATAATTAATGAAATGATTAAGTGAAAATACCAAAGAAAAATGAAAAAAATGGTTTTAGCAATACTGAACGTATCATTTTTGCATTGCAGATTCCCACCCCTCTCTCTTTTGCCCTCCCAGTTATCATTTCAATTATTTTGTGATGGTTGTTCTTTCCATCTGAATTGTTGTATAGGCATTGTGTATACTGTGTTCCTAGCTCTGCTTATTCATTTTGAATCAGTTCAAGTGGATCTTTTTCATGCTTCTCTGTATTCATAATCCTCATTTCCCCCTTTAAATCATAGTTATATTCATTACATTCATGTACCACAATTTCTTGAGCTTTTCCCCAATTAATGGACATTCACTTTGTTTTTAATCCTTTATTTTCACAAAAAATAAGCGCTGCTATATATTTCTTGGTGTACACCGAACCTTACTTTTTGTCAATGACTCCTTGTGGTATATGCCTACTAGTAGAATCTACAGGGTCAAAAGTTATGGGTATTTTAGTCACTTTATTTGTATCATTCCAAGTTGCTTTCCAAAATACAGAAGAGTCTCATTGGCTCTATAGGCATCCTGAAGCAAAAGTTCCATGTGAGGAGAATCCCAAGAAAAGATCAGCTCTTTCCTCAGTTTCCCTCCTGGTGTCTATCTAGAGCCATAATAATATAATCTGCTGCCATCACCCCAATGTTTCCAATAAACAGAATTTGCATCAAACACAAAACAGCTCAAATTTAACTAGAGATAAATATAAATGTAAAATTAGGCAGAAAGCCCAAACTCTGCCTAAATATTAGGCATTTTCCTAACTGGGTACTCAAGGGAACTGTAACTGAAATCTTAACTTTCTGTCTAACGTAAACTTCCAAAGGCTAGAGGAGAAAGAGGTCCAGAGGGACCATTATATTAGTCCTTAAGCTTAAACCAGCTAGTTATTGTAACAGTCTTACAAATTGGCATTATTGTGCCTGTCATTCCAGAGAACTTCCAACACAGGCCATTTCCATCTTCTGTCACCTTTGTCAATTTGCTGGGCGTGAGGAGGAATTTCAAGGTTATTTTGATTTTCATTTATTTTTAGTTTTGGAGCACTTTTTTTTTCATGTTTCTCAATTTTGCAATTCTTTCGAGAATTGTTTGTTCATATCTTGAGGACCACTGGCTTTTGGTCTTTTATATTTATTAGTTCTCTATATGTCTTTGCTATCAAGATACCTTCTCAGAGATATCTAATACAAAATTAGGGATGGGGGGGAGTTTTGGGTTGTTTTTGTTGTTGTTTGTTTTTGCCAGTCAGCTGCTTCCATTATCTAAATGCATTAATTTGGTATGTGAAAAACCTTGTTCAAAGAAATTAGGTTTTTTTTTTTTTAAAGAATGTTTTTATTTTTTCTCAATTACATGTAAAAACAACTTTAACATTCATTTTTCTTATAATTTTTAAGTTCCAAATTCCCTCTCTCCTTTTATTCCCTCCCTTTGAGAAGGCACTTTGATATAGATTAAACATATGCAGTCATGCAAAATATATTTCCATATTTAACCATGTTACAAAAGAGAACAAAGACTAGAAAAAAAAAGAAAAAGAAAGTAAGTTAAAAAAAAAAGTATGCTTCCATCTGCATTCAGACTCTATCAATTCTTTCTCTGGAGGTAGAAAGCATTTTTCATCCTAAATCCTTCAGAACTGTCTTGGATCACTGCATTGGTGAGAATAGGTAGTCCATTCACATTTGATCATCATACAATATTGCTGTTACTGCATACAATGATCTCCTGGCTTTGCTCAGTTCACACGTCTTTCCAGGTTTTTCTGAAATGCTCCTGCTTGTCATTTCTTATAGTACAACAGTATTCTATCACAATCATTTGCCACAACTTATTCAGCCATTCACCAACTGATGGCATCCCTTCAACTTCCAACTCTTCGCCAACACAAAAAGAGAAGCTATAAATATTTTTGTACATATAGGACCTTTTCCTTTATCTTTGATCTCTTTGGGACACAGACTTACTAATGGTATTACTAGGGTCAAAGGGTTTGACAGTTTGATAGCCCTTTGGGCATCATTCCAAATTGCTTTCTAAAATAGTTAGATCAGTTCACAACTCCATCAAGAGTGCTTTAGTGTCCCAATTTTTTCCACATTCCCTCTGATATTTGTCATTTTCCTTTTCTATTATATTAGCCAATCTGATAGGTGTGAGGTGGCAACTCAGGGTTGTTTTAATTTGCATTAGAATTTTTTTTGCAAAGAAATTTTGCAAAGAAATCAAAGTTTTTAAGAAAGAAATCACAAGTCTAACCTTCAAGTGATAGAACACAGAAGACCCACACTTCACATCAGTAGATTAGATAATCTTTACTAGATGGTAAAGAAAATGAAAGAATTATAAATCAAAAATGCAGGGACAGAAGAAAAATAAGAGAAGAGATAGGAATAAAATCTTTTATATCCTGGTATAGGAGATTCCCAGTTGAGAAAAATTCTACCAGTACAAGTTAGCACCTTCTCTGCAACTAAGGGTCATAGAATTTTGCCTAGAGCAATGAGAGATTAAATGAATTGCCCAGAGTTACACAGTCTGCATATATCAGACAAGAACTAAACCCCGATTTGGATTTTAAAATAGTTCCTTATTGCCTAGGCCACAATGTCTCTCAGGAAAATAAAATCATGGGACAAAATTTTAAAAACAAAATTTAAAGGTCACTACAAAACATGAATACTTAACTTGATGATACAATGTGAAGCAATAATGTAAGAATTACAAGTCTTCCAGAAAAGTAATGAAAAAGAAAATATGAATAGCATACTACAAAAATTCAAACAAAGTTTGCCAGGTAACATTGGAAACAGATGGCAAAGTTCATATTAAGAGAATCTGCAGAACACAAACAAAAAGAAACTCCCAATTTAAATCATCATGAAACAGCCAAAGGTTTAACTCTGAAAGCCAGGTGCCTAAAACCAAAGCAGCCTCTTGTATCATAAGGTGACATCATGGCAGTGTAGGGACTAAGGAAGTTGGGATAGCAGGGAAGATGTTACAGGAGTGCCCAAGAGCCATCAGCCCTACTCATCCTGGAGATGTCCTTGGAAATGTCTTTGCAATAGGTCCTGGTTTTGATCTCTGAATAAAAATGTTTACTCCCACTTTCAAGTGACAGTTCTCAAAATATTTGAATTTCACCTTTCCCCACTTTTCTCGTGTATTTCTAAGCTAACCATTCCTAGTTCTCTCCAACATTCCTCAAGAAGTGGTTTCCAGCAGCCTCATATACTGGATTACCTCCAATCTCCATAAAGTATGTATAACACCCCGTACTAAACATAATATTGCTAATGTAGTCTGACCAGCACCAAGTACAGTATGACTTTTACCGATATCAAGTAGAAAGTATTAATGCAATCTAAAGTTGCTTTGGACTTTTATCTATCTTCACTTTTGTCACCAATCAGCATGTTTTCTATAATTTCATTTAAATTATTAAGAAAAATGTCTGTACAAGGCAAGGCTTGCAAATACTTTTAAAAAATATTTCTAAAATTTTATCTCTTTTAGAATGTATCCTTAACCACAAAAATTAAGATTATATTCAATATTTCATATTTGTATCATGTCATTTTGATCAATTTTTAAAATGCAAATTAACTACTAAATAGTTAAATAATACAAACTTGAATCTTTAAGGCTCTATTTTAATCTCTGTTCCTTTTTTAAAGTCTAGATTACCAATGGTACACTTGTTTCCTTATCCACTCTACTTCTAATAAATGCCTTAAATTTTTTTAGGGAATTTAAACATCAATTCTTATTTGTTACTGTAGAGTTCTAATACTTCATCAAGGAAAAAATACAAGATACTGGTTCAGTGACTAGTCCTAGCTTGCAAATGCTCACACGGCCATGATAAATAATTATATGCCAGACAACGATTAGAGGATTGGATGCTGATTCTATTTGGTTTATTTCTTGCTGGAGTATAGCATCAGAGATGTAAAAGACCTTAAAGGTCAGATGGTTCAACACCATCATTTTATTGATAAGAAAGTTGAGGCTCAAAGAGATGTGACCAACATCCCACAGATAGCAAATGGCAAAGCCAAGATTCAAGGCTAAATCCTCCTGCAAGAATTGTAGGCTAATAAAATCAAGGAACACAAAACAGTTCACATCTAAACCCAATGTCATGTAACAATTTATTAATAGCAGAAATTATCATTATTCTGGTTTTTTAACATCATAGTTATAGCCTTCCATTAGACTAGACGGCAAATACTTCACATAATATTGAAAACTAATATTGAAAACAACAGGTACTAATATTGAAAACAAGATGATTAATATGAATTTATTTGACCCACAGTGCTAACAACATAAATTGTATATGAAAAATATCAATATTAGGACATGCTGGGAAGGGCTACTAATTGAAAGACTTTAGAACATCATGGCTTCTAATCCTTCTTCCATAAACTTCTTGTAAATAGCCATGAACTTTGCCACAAATGCTTCAAGGTGGTAAATGGCTTTGCTACCAAGTTGAAGACGATGTTCATAGTAAGCTGCCATCTGTGCAACCTCACCTTTCAGTTGTCCATCACAATTATTTAAAAGTTCTGAGAGAAGGCCCTAAAAAGAAATAATTAGTAATTAAGAAGTAAAATTAAAACACCAATTTCCCTTCACTGTCTATAAATTTCTACCTTTTAACCAGTTTACATGTATAACTTTTACTGATACAATATACACACAACTAGGATACATAATTACAAGTCCAAGTGAGAGAAACTCAGTAGCACTGAAATTTTCAAATAACATACATTTAACTTAAAAGTTTCTATATACATTGTACAAGTACCATCTTCACCTCCTGTTGGATTTGCTGGAATTGCTGAATTGGTCTTCCTCTCCCACTCTAATTAGCCCTCCACATAGCTGACATACTGATTTTTCTTACATGCAGATGTGACCATGTAACTCCTTTACTCAATAAAACTTCACTGGCCACCTACTGCCTTTAGAATAAATATAAAGTATTTCACAACCTGGCCCAAACTTATCTTTCCATTCTTCTTATAACATTATTCCTACTCTAAAGAGCCCTTCTCTATGTCCTTTGCAAACGGCATTCTACCTCCTGCCTCTTGAGCCTCTGCACTGGCTACCCTCCAAGCTTGGAATACTCTGCACCTTCTTGCCGCCATCTCAGATACTTCCTTCAAGAAACAACTTAAGCAAATTTCTACACAAAGCTCTTCCTGATCCCAACTGCTAAAGCCCTCAACTATCTTGTATTTATTCTGTGTATGCTTATATAATGTGCATGTCTTCCCCTGATAGACTATAAGTTCCTCAAGAGCAAAGCTAGTTTCATTTTTTTTGTCTTTATACCTCTCAAGTCTAACACAATGCCTGGTACAAAATAAGTGCTTAATAAATGCTTGCTGATTAGTTAAAGAAAACTAGCAAATATCATATATAAAAATTTTGGTTAATTAACATAATCGCCTATAAATACATCATATCCTAAGAGAACTGTTCTCTGAGTTATGCAAATAGGCAGAAGATCTTTGTCCAATGGAAAGAAACAATTACTATGGAATCAGAGGACCTGGATTCAAATACCATCTCTGATTCTAACTTTGGGCAAGTCATTTACCCTTCCAAGGTCTCAAGTTCCTAATGTGTAAAATAAAGGGGTTGGGGGGAGGGAGAGGTTTACTAGAGGGCTCCTGAGATTTCTTTTGACTCTAAATCTATAATGCCATGGGGTGAAGGGAATTCCTGGCATGGGAACTCTCAAATGAAGTAGACAGAAATCTATATATGACTTAGTATCAAAGTCCTAAAAACAAAAACCCCTAAACATTTACATTATGTGTAAAAGTTAGCAAAACATTTTATACATCTATCTTATCTGATATTCATAACAGTAGTAGTATTATTATTACCCTCATCTTATAGATGAAGAAACTGAGGCCTGGGGAGGCCTAGGGTCACCCAGCTAGTTATTAAAGGAAAAACCTGCACGAAGTCTCCCTGACTTCAAGTCTATCCAGTGTATCATGCTGAGTCTTCTATAGTTTACAACCTTAAAAAAGTTTACATTATTCCAAATTATGCTCTAAATAAAAAGGCACAAAAATAAATGTATTTTAAGTAATACACATTCCAAGCAAGAGAAAAACTTAACCAAGGCAAGCCTAGCAGAAAGAAAGGCTAAGTCACAGGATTATGGGATTTAGAGCTGGGAGGTATTTTTGAGATTATCTCATCCAATCTCCTCATTTTAGAGATGAGGAAGAAAAATATAAAGTGTGACACAAAGTCACACAAGTAGTAAGTAGCAGAGCTGGGATTTGAATCCAGGTCTTCTGACTGCTAATTTCATCCTTTAAGAAGTAGAAACAACTGAAGGGAAATTCTATTCTGGTTCTGATTCTCACTAACAGGAAGAAACCACTTGCTAGGATAAAAATGATGGCAACTTTAAAGAGAAGTGACTACTCTGTGAGAGAGGACAGGAAATCTGAGCATAATCTAATATCTTCCCTAGATTTTTGAAAATAGATTTCAAAGAGTTCAGAGGAAAGTTGAGCAGAAGTCCATGGATTAAAATGCTTCAATGGAAGACAGACATAAGAAGCTCAAGATTGAAATTTTAAAATCAGAAAGGGAAACAATTCCATTAAAAAGGAAAAATTAGATTTGTCTAAAGAGACTAAATCATAGGCACAAAGAACTCACCAACCAATTTAGATTTTAAGATGAAATTTGTAGAAGATGGAAAGAAAGCTAAGTAACAGAAGATGAATGGAAGTACATGGCATAATTCTGTAAGAACAGTATCAGTTATACTAAGGTTCAGAATGAGCTGCAATGGACAAGGACAATTAAGAACAATGTTTGGGGGTGTGTGTGTGTGTGTGTGTGTGTGTGTCTGTGTGTGTGTGTGTACGCGCGTGCTTGTTTCTTGTTATATTCAGAGAAAACGACCAAAGAAAGAATAGGACCTTTGCTTATGGTACATGGAATGAGAGTTGGCAATACAAAGAAAGAAAACTTGCTTAATTCTAATTTTGTTTCTGTTTCCTCTGAAAAGAATTATCTTTATACTAGAAATGATACAAAAAATGACTGAGAGAACTGATACTCAAGATGAGTAAGAAGATAATAAGAAAGCACCTAGTTGTCCTTGATGAATTTAAGTCACATGGCGCTGATGATCTACATTCTCAAGTTCTGAAAGAACTGGTACGTGTAATTGCTGAGCCATGTGATTGCTATTTGAAAGATCATAGAAAACAAAAGGAGTACCACAGGATAAGAGAAAATGTTGTGCAGATTTCTGAAAAAGGAAAAAGAACTATTTCCAAACTAAAGGCCAATGACCTTGACTTCCAGGCCTGAGGAAATTCTGGAAGAGATCATTAAAGAGAAGGGTGGTGACCCACTAGAAAAGGAAATGGTGATAATAAAGAGCCAGCATGACTTTATCAAGAACATCCTAAACAAATCTCATTTCCTTTTCTTATCAAATTACTAAACTAGTAGGTAAGGGGAATGCTGTGGATATTGTTTACCAAGAATTTAACAAAGCTTTTGTTACAGTATTTCACATTTTTCTTACAGACAAGATGGAGAGCTATACATTGTATAGTAATATAATTAAAATAGATTTTAAAATGGCTCAATGTCACCATGTTAGGAAGTCTCTAATGAAGTACTCAGGGATCAGTCTTGGCCTTGTGCTATTTAATATTTTTATCAATGTCTTGGATTAAGGCAGAAATGTAACCATCAAATTTGCTGGTTACAGAAAGCTGGGAGGAATAGCCTAACACACTGGACGACAGTCAGGACCAAAAGATCTTGTCAGACTAGACAATTCTTAACCTGGGATTCAGGAATTAGTTTTGTTTGTGTTTTTTTTTTTAATATTTTAAACTGTATTTAAATATAATTGATTTCTTTTAAAATCCTATGCATTTCATTTTATATACTTACAAACATTATCCTAAGAAGGGGTGCATAGGCTTCATCACAATGCCAAAGGTGTCCCACTGGCAAAAAAGTTTGGTTTGTTTTTGCCTTTGTTTTCCCTCATGGTAGGCTAGAGCACTGGGTTGGCTATAACTGAAGGGTCAATGCAGAGAGTACTGGGCTTGGAGTCAATGAGACCTGAATTCAAATTTGACCTCAGACATTACCTGTGTGAGCCTGAACAAGTCATTTAACCTCTATTTGCCTCAGTTTTCTAAAAAAATGGGAATAATAATAGCACCTAACTCCCAGGGCTATTGGGAGGACCAAAAAACATAGTATTTGTAAATCACTTAGCACAGTACCAGATGCATAGTAGGTACTTAATAAATGCTTATTTCCTTGCTTCCTAATAAGGAGAAATTCAATATGAATAAATGTAAAGTCCAGCACTTTGATACAATCAACTTCACAAGATAGAAAAATATGCTTAGAAAGTAGATATTCTGAGAAAGACCTGTAGGAAGGAGGTCAATAATAGTCAGAAATGTTAAGAGTTGGGCAAAAAAAACTAATGGAATTTTGGGCTACATTAAGACAAACAGCCTCCAGGAATAGAGAGCTGACAGTGCCCTACATTCTGCCCTCATAAGCCTTCATGTGGATTCCAATATCTTGCACCATTATTTAGCTATTATAAGTGGCATTATGTGAAATGTGGCATTATGTGAAGCTGTTTCAATACCATTTTGACCAATTAACTTTGTTCTATTCAACAAATTGTAGTCCTTTTCTGCATCTTATAATGTATATTACTAGGGGGAAGGATAGCCAATATACATTCAACTTTTCTTCTTTTCAATGGATTTAAACTGGATCTGTCCTGTGAAGTGGAATTTTCTCACACCTTTTAAAGACATTGTAAAGAAAAATAGGGAAGAATACCAATTGCAAGGGGGAAAAAAAATCATATGCCATGTTACTACTACCCCACAAAATGACTAAGAAAATATAAAAAACTATCAATCTACATGTCTTTCTCACCTCTACAAGATTCTTATAAACCAATCTACACACGCATCAAGGGCATCCTTGAGAAGAGAAAAGGCAGGCTTCTCCCAAGTCAATATAAGTATCCCTAAAGCAGACCACATCTTTACAGTCATATAGTTGACTGAAAAGGGTAAGGAAAGTGAAAGCCCACCTGTATGTTTTGTGGAAAAAAAAAAAAGTATTGGATTAAGTACAGCAAATTGTTATAGTAAAGGATCTCCTCCAACAAGGTATATTTAATTACGACAAAATCATACAAGATTTCCTGAAATATGTAACAGAGATAACTTAGTTTGATGACCCTTCAATTATCAGGCAACAAAACACAAAGATGTATGTTTGCCAAACAAAGGTATTTGTCCTGTAATACAGAGTTCAAATGAAAGTACTTCTCATATGTGGCAAAATCCTACAGATGTTCCTGTTTTCAAATGAAACTACCAATTGCATTAAGCCCCAAAATTCTAGGGAGCCTCCTAAAGGAGATTCACAATTACTCAAAATAGTTTGGCTTATGTCCAAAGCAATAACCAAGGAGATAAAGAATATTTATTGGTCCAGACAATGATATGCAATGGGACAGGAAATCACATAGCTCTTTATCCACTAGAAGATCTATCTTGAATAGATCCTGAATATGCACAGTCAGCTGGCCCTAGAACTGAATAGGAGGAAGAAAACAGACTAGATTGCACATGCTTTTTGGTGACCCCAAGTTTTTCCTGGAAGCAAAGGTCCACCTTTTTAAAATTAATATTTTTCTGATGATGATGCATGGTGGCTCTGAGTCATGAAACAGGAGTCTCCAAAGAACGAAGTTGTGGTTTACCCAAATGGCAAAGAAGCAGCATTTGGTGGGTGAGAGTAGACTGTAACATGTTAACTGATAAAGAAATGTACAAGGAAAGCAGAATAAAGTATATCATCAGAGACTTAACCAATTTACATCATGTGTGCTCCAATGGTACCTAAGAATAAAAATAATTAGTAAGTGCTTATTATGCTCCTGGCACTGTGCTAAGTACTGGGCATACAAAATAAAAAAAAAGTAAGACAGGCCCTGCCCTCAATAATCTTACTTTCTAATGGGGGAAGGAAGTGGTGCCCAAGGAATGATGTTTTGGAAGTAATAGGAATGGGATCCAGAAGGTCCTTGGCAAGTTGGATGGTGTCCTATAGAGGATTTATAGGGACACATTTACAAAAGGAATATGACATGAGAAGGCTTGGATGAATTGTAATCTGTAAAAGGGATGGAGATTATCAGATCCAAAGAAGTCTGAAAGAGGCAGGGTCTATAATATGCTATTTTTTACTTATAAAATAACATATTGACTCATAATGAGGTTTGTGATTTCTCTTATTTTGTTATTTTTCAGAGTATAATGAAGTTTAAATAAGTAAAAAACAGAACCAAGAAGCTATATATAGGCAACACATAGTAGGTTTGGTTGAAAAGAACAGTGGCTTAAGGGAAGAGGAAATCTCGGCATCTCCCAACCCTCAGCCCTCTCTCCCTCAACTCTAGTTTTCTCCTCTTTCTTCCTATTTTATTTTTCTCTCAGATTCTTTCCTTTTGTTATTTTCTTCCTACTTTAAGGATCATAATGTGTAAGGGCAGCTAGGTGGTACAGTGGATAGAGCACTGGCCCTGGAGTCAGGAGGACCTGAATTCAAATCCGGCCTCAGAAAGATAACACTTACTAGCTGTGTAACCCTTGACAATTCACTTAACCCCATTGCCTAGCCAAAAAAAAAAAAAAGAATCATAATGTGGAACTGAAATATATTTTTATGATCCTTTTTATTTAATGAATGAAGTATTTTATGGTATGGTTCTTAATTTTAAAAACAAGTAAATCAAACATTTTATACTTCTTTCTCTTAAAGGGCAAAAAATTTTATTCTGTGTTACTCAAAATTTTTTCAGTCAGCAGACTTCAACAGAAAAAATTTCCCTTATCCCTGATGTAAGGTAAAAATGAATCTATTAAAAATCCAATTGTTTAAAATTAACAACTGAAAATAGAGTGATGGGAAATAAAGTAAATAGATGCACTTAACTTTTTCCCCACCTCTAATTTTCTATGCTATTAAGCGTAAAAGATAAGAAATCAGATTACCTTCATTATTATTTCAGGAGGAATACAATGAGTTAACAGCTCATAAAGTCGTCCACGAATTTCAAGCAGCCTGTTTAAAATAAAAGACATGGAAAAATTAATTTTAAAAGAATTATTTCTGAGATTCAGTGATGAAATAATGAAACAGACAAAGTTTCTTTCTTGGGAAGCAGCTGACTGGGAAAAAAACTATTATCAAATATCTTTGATAAGGGTTCCAAGATATATCAACAACTAACAGAAATATAAAAGAATAAAAGCTATTAAAAGAATGTTGCAGACCAATAATAATAAGGAAATGCAAATCATAATAACCACAAACTTTCACCCTGTAAATCAAAAATGTCAAAAACTGAGAATAATCAAGGTTGGAGGAGTTATAGGCAAGAAAACTGATGTATTGGTGATGGAGGTGTGCATTGGTACAATCATTCTGGAAAACAATTTGGAATCTTGCAAATAAAGTGACTAAAGGGTCCATACCCTTTGGCCCAGAGATTTCACCATTTGGTATATGCCCCCAAGGAGATGACTGACAAAATAAGGCTCACTATAAACAAAAATATTTATAGGTGCATTTTTTTGTGGTAGTAAAGAACTGAAAACAAAGTTTGAGGCATGGCTAAATAAACTGGTACATAAATGTAAGGGAACATCACTATATTATAAGAAATGATGAGTATGATGAATACAGAGAAGCACGAAAAAGACTTAGATGAACTGGTGCAAAATGAAGTAAGCAGAGTCGGGAAAACAAAATTCACAAAGACTAAAAATATGTAAATGGAAAGAACCATAAAACAATTGAAACTAAAAGCTGTGAAATTGCAGAAAACAAACTTGGCCTCAAACAAGAGGCAAGAGAAGAGAAATTCCCTTTGCAGAGGTATGTGCTTATGGGAGATGGGAAATTGGGGGTGGAGTGGATGAAGAGGGGACAGCATGGTTAGTCTATGGATGCATTGCATAGAACATCCGATTTTTTTTTTTGATGTTGTTTGGTTTTACTGATTTTCTTTCTCTTTTTAAAAAAATCTGTTATAAGGGATGATTCTCTAGAGGGAGAAGAGGAAAGAGGATACAAGGGAAAAAATTTTAAATTTATATTATTATTATTATTATATATTATATATTTCATGTTATATATTATATAATATATTATATTTCATGTTATATATAATATATTATATTATATATTATATAATATATTTATATTATTAAATTTAAATATTTATTTATTCATATTTATATATTTATTTATTTATTTATTTATATGTTTAAATTTATTTAAATTTAAAGTTCTCTTCCATATCACTTGCAGCAAAAAAAAATTTGGATTTTTAACTTTTTTTCCCACTGTGACTTTAATTTAACCAAACATGCTATAATCCCCAGATCTTTTACTATAATAGTACAGGTTTAGAAGCTATTTGTGACAATACTTTAAATGACCTTTTACCCACTGATTTCCATTAAAAATTCAAGGATAAATTCTCTTTCCTTGACACTGCCCCGCCATGGCTACAAGTCTCTTCAATACCAGTTTTGAATTATATTTCAGAATATAACAAAATTTCCTGTTATAGTAAATAGAATTGAAGATGCCACCCCAACATGATCCCTCTGCTGCCAAAATATACCACTGGGCAATGCGAAAACAAACTAATGCACTTTTGATGTGGCTGTGAATTGGTCTAGTAATTCTGGAAAGTAATTTGGAACTATGCCCCCAAAAGTCACCGAACTATTCATTAGCACTACTAGACCTATACCCTAGAGAGATAAAAGAACCTAAATGATAAAAAAAATATTTATAACAGATCTATTTATTATCACAAAGAATGGGAAGCTAAGGAAATTCCCACTAATTGGAGAATAGCTGAATAAATTATGATACATGAAAGTAATGAAATATTGTGCCATAAGAAATTATGAAGGGCTACATGTGGTGGCACAAAACTATAACCCCTGCTACTGGTTGGGAAGCTGAGGTTTGCTTGAAATCCGGAGTTCTGAGCTACACTAAGGCTAAGGCTGACTGGGTGTCCATACTACGTCTGGCAGGAACATGTTGAGCCTCAGCAGCAAAGGGTCGCCAGTCTGCTTAAGGAGAAGTGAAGTAGCCCAGGTTGGAAACAAAGAAGGTCAAAAGTTCTGTGCTGATCAGTAGTGGTAATTAGGCCCAGGAGTTGCCACTGTAATTCCAGGCTGAGAGACCTAGTAGAAAGGAAGCAACCAAACAAGCTGAAATGATGAAAGGGGCAGTTTCAAAGACACCCAAGAACACCTGGATAAACTGATGCAGAGTGAAGATAATAGAATCAGTATAATTTATACAATAACAATACTACTCAATGCACTGACCATCTATGATTTCAGGACCAATGATGAAGCATACAATCTGCTGATGAAACTCAAGTTGCTGGATGACATATATATTTTTGGACACAATCAATATGGACTGTGATTTGCTTGAGTATGCATATGTGTAGAAAAGGTGCTTTTTTTTTCCTCAATAGAGAAGAGGGAGATAAGAAATAATAATAGGGTTGCCAAAAAATAAAAAGGAAAGCAAAGAAAAAGAAAGCATGGGGTGGGAGGTGGGGAATTGTCACTGAAACACATTTTTCAAATGCACAGAAGAAAATGGAAGGAATCACAGACAAGCAAGGTAGATCTGAAAGCAACATGGTGAATTCATTAGATAACTTGAAAAGAAAAGCACTGTATATAACAGAAAAAGTCTCCAATGAGTGATTAGTGCAAGGAATGTCTTATCATGTTTCTAAGGCTAGCAATTCACAAATTAAGGGATCCTGTCACAGTATTACAATGCACAACCAAGACTCTCCTATTTGAAAGTTATGAACTTGCATAGTACTAGTATCTGTAACCGTTGGGCTGGCTGATTTGAATTAGAATTAAAACAAGATTATGACACAAGATAGAAACAAAGTATGATTATTGATATTAAAATATCACTTAACAGTGCTGAAGTTATTACTTCAATTATTTTCATCTGAAAAGTTGGTTCATAATCAGCCACCTAACTCTGACACACACTTGTCCTGGTAATTTTTAAATAATGAAAATTCATCTTGTATTTTGTATATTAGAAGGAAATTCTAGTTTCCAGGATGGTATATTAAACTAGAATAAAGGCCATAATCGCTACAGAAAAAAAATCAAAGACTCAAATTGGTAGCAGCAGTTCATCACTCTTTTTTTTTTCTATTAGTCTAATAGAAAATGAAATTGGCACCATTTGTACAAACAATCAGCCAGAGTTGCCTTCCACTCTTTTCACTGTACAACTAGGAATGTTTTTTATATAGTACAATGGAAATAACAACTACATCATTAGCTTCAGGAAGAAAAAGCAGTACGTCTGCATTATATAAGTATGTTTTTAGTTGCCGAGACCTCTTGAGAAAATTACTAGAAAAGATGCCAGCAGTCAGAATAGTTATATAAAACAGTAATAAACTGATGGTATCAAAATGTGACTATGAGACAAGTCTATCAAGTAAAGGCAACATCTCTGTCAATATCCCTTAAGTCATCAAAATTTCTCATGAGTCAACTAATAATCTAAAACTAACCTTTTTATTTAAAAAGTTAATTTATTTAAAATTTTAATTTATTTGAAAATTATATAAAGATTTGTTTTACGTAAAAAATTATATGAAAATATAATTTATTTGAATTAATTAAAAACTTTCTTTTAAAAATAAAATAAAAAATACAAATACTCTGAAAAGACCTCATCACCTTTGTGAGGAAATGTTTGACAAGCAATTTTTCTCTGAAACTGATTACTGAACAGAATGTCATTTTCCAAAAAGTTGAACAAGCCCTATAATCAAAAAACTTCCTTTTAAAGAAACCATTCTCTAAACAGATAACACGGTGATGTGAACAATATTGATTAGGAGTCTAAAGACCAGGGTCAAAATCTTGGCTATGCCACTAACTTGTGCTCTCAACAAATCATTCAACCTGTCAGGCCTTCAATGTAAAAGTCCCCATTCTATCTAACAATCTATCATTCTAAAGATGTGAATTACTGGATAGAAATTAAAAGGTTTAACTAAAAGTTTTAAAAATTCAAGCTTTATCTAAATAACTACAAAATACTATGTTTAATTGTTAATTATCACCTAATTTAGAGGAAGGCCAGTGTCCACTCACAGCATGTTTTGTCATTTCTTTGAAAATGTCCTTCATATGGGACACCAGAAAAAATGGTTCACCAACTTCACTGACAGGAATGGAAGGAAGCGTGTTAAAAAAAAAAAAAAACCAAAAAACCTTTTAACCAATATTGCTCTTGTCTAACTTAAAATCAATGACTTTCAAAGCTGAGGAATTTCTTTATGGAAAACTATTTTTGGTGGGCTTAAGAGCTGACTTAAAACAACAGATTTGTGTAGTCGGCAAAAGAGAGATCTTTGAACCCTTATTATACATTATAGCTACGTTCTTCGCACTACTAGAAGTTAGGGAAAATGAAAGTATATTACACAGAAATATTAGGTCAGCTATTTGACGGACGTGAGAAATACAAAAGAATCCAAGTGACTTCCAGTAGTGGTTATAATTTATACATAGATTCAGTACAATCACACATCAAGAGTTTAATAAAAGGGGTATGAAAGTGTTTATTATCTACTTCTAGCCAACTCTTCTGAATTACTAGATTTCTGCAAGTTAATTTAACCAATTTCTTCAAGGTTTTAAATATAGATTTAGGACCAAATTTTAATTTTAAACTATATTAAAATTGTGTAAGACCACAAAAAATTCTAAAAATCCTAACTACTCTAAATGATAAGGTTTTGCTACCTAACATATTATTTTCAAAATACTTTAGTTATATTGCTTACCTTTGAGGAGTCTGCTGACTGACAATAGCATTTGCAGTCTCTCTCAGATATACTTCCCAATCTGTCTCAGGGATATCTTGATCTGAAGTAAAAGGATACCTGTGTGACAAAAAAAGATCACTGTATTTTGGAAACCAACATAAAGATATATGTGTTTTTACTACAAACGGTTAGTTCTATTAACTTCTCATTTAGACCTACTGTTGCACCCTGCAGGCTTCACACATAAGCAGGGCTTTTCTGAGATTTCTACAGGATTTCTCCGCAAGCCTATGAGCCAGCTCTGAAGGAAGATTGAGACCTTCTTTCTTGCACACAGTGGACAATACATGGCAAATCTATGAAGAAGACAGTTAATAAAACTATAGCCAAAAAGAAAAATCACCTTTTCTTAGTGCAACACCCATTCAAACATCTTTTACAGGCCCATGTAATGATGAAATTCATGAATTTGGGGGATTTTTTTGTTTTGTTTTTTACTAGAGAAACCTTTAAGAAAAATTAAGCTATCTCATTCCAATTAATATTAAAGGTCTGCACTATTTCTGCTTTACAGAAAAATTCTCAAAGGTAAGGGACTGGTTGATATTATAAATGATTTTACTGATAATGGGAGAAACTGTAATGGTAATTATACAAAAGTAATGCTGGGGGGAACCTAAGAGAACTTTATTTTAGATTCCCTTTTCTACATACAACTAGAGACTGAAACTTCTTCTGCATTCTAAGTACATTTCTTTGTACTATCTACCTACTCCACAGATAGCTTTAATTGACTTCAGAAGATGTATGTGCAGAAGATAAACACTAAATAACTGAAGCCCAGTATCTAAATTTATTATCCACTACAGCTTATACTACCTAAGTAGCATAAATAGGATTAATACATAAGTTATAAGAACACAGTGTTTACCCTATGCAATGGCTTTGTAGTTAGAGAGTCTTCCAAGGTAAAGTAAAGGTAGAAAAAAAGGTGGCGAGCATTCAGATTTTAATAAGGTTTTGGTGAAATCACAATTTAAGTAGTATTCATGTCTGATGTCTCAAAAATGAGTATTACAAATGAACAAATTGCACTTTTTAACTTTTCAAAAAAACTTATTTTCCAAATTAACTTACATCTTCAATGCTGGGAGCAGGAACACGAACTGCAAGGCACCTACTCCGGATAGGTGGTATTACTTTTGATGTAGAATTACAACACAGTATTAATCTGCAAGTAGACATATATTTTTCCATAGTTCTACGTAAAGCATGCTGAGCATCTTTGGTAAGTTTGTCAACTTCAGTCAGTAAAACCACTGAAACAAGTATTAAAAAAGCAAAACATCATTAAAATGAATTAACTCAAAGAGAAAGTCTTGGTGTGATTTCCCCTTTTCTATCAAAGGTCAAAAAATAAACTCTTGTAGGGGCAGCAGTTGGCAGAAAGGTATATTCCACTTTCCATAATGGTTAAGATAAAGAACTAATTATTACTCTAAGATACTATAAAAGCAGATATTATACTTTTAAAGGGAAAAAGGTTTCATTATTGAGTTAAGGGAGGCCTGTATTCTAGATTCAGCTTTGTGACCTTAATTCATTTAATGTCTCTTGCCTCAATGTACTCATCTCTAAAATTCAGGGATATAAAGGGGGTGGGAAGCATAGACTAGATGATTTTTAAGGTCTCTTCTTGCTTTTAATTTTGTTACAAAAAAGTAATTTTAGCATGCTACAATAAAAAAAAAAAAACACTTGGATACCAAGGAGAAAAATTATGCGGTAAACTGTATTACTGGTTTAACCCATTATGGTATTTGTCTTCTTCTGTTGCGATAAGAAATTACAGCAGGTATTTTAATTTCAGATTTTTCATTTATACCACCATCAATGTGACAGCCATGCTAACATTTATTTCAAAGACATAAAAAGGTAGTAAATCAAATAAAATTCTTCCTATTAAAATGAATCATATTTATGCTTATCTTGGTAGACAGAAGGCATATTAATTATTTTAATCTAATCTGTTACTTCTAACACATTGCTCCTACTTTATTCTTACCACTAAGGTATCTTAAGATTTCTCTGAGATGTCCTTATTTTCTAATACCAGCAAAGCTAATCTAATTTAAAAGGAAAAATGCCAGGATGAACACAGAAGATATATCAAATATATACACCTCTACTTCCAACAGCAAAAGCAGATTTTCTCCATGATTTACAACAGCAATAAATACTTCCTTCACCCATTTCCCATAGTTAATAAAAAGCCAACTTAGGTCTATATGCTTTTTGTACTTTGCAAATGGAAACATTATTATTGTACATCTTCTCTGGTCTTCACAACATTCTTAAAGAGTAGGCAAAGCAAATATCCATTCCCATTTTACAGCAAGTAAATGGCCTCAAGGATAAAGGGACTTGCCCAAGGTCACATATCAGTAATGAAATGTACAGTGGGGACTTCTGACTTATGGTCCACTGTTCTTTATCAGTACATGGCACTTCTAACACTACTGACCTCTCAGTGTTCTGAGTAGTTTTTCTAGTAGTATTGATAGATTTGCAAAGCTCAATTCATTTTCTCATCAGTCCATTTAGAACTAAAGGACTTATTTTTCCCAAGTTAACCAGTTTAATAATAGCTAAAATTTATGCAGTGCTTGAAGGTTTACAAAGCACTTTACATATCTCATTCTATGTCACATATTCTATATCACACACCTCTATTTTAAAGACAAAGAAACAGCCTCAGAGAGTTAAATGGCTTGCTGAGGGTCAGACAGCTAACAAATTTGCAAGGCAGGATTTAGACTCACATCTTACTGACTCTAAATCTGGCTCTTTAAACAAACCAACACTTGAATGCATGATTTTAATGAGAGAGCTTTATTTTAAACTAGGCTTCATTTTTCCCAGCCTGATAAGTAGTTGAACAGGAAAGTCTTCATTACTGACCAACAGTAATTTTTTTAAGGCAGTTTCATCTGGGATTTGAATTGAAAATCTCAATATTTTACTTAAAGGGCAAACTTTTTTTTAAAAAATACTATGAAAGAAAATAGAAAGTTTTGCTTTAATTTTAATAATGTACGATTATTAATAATATGCTGAGAAGGCATAATAATATCAGAAGGGCTCAATCAACAACCAAACTAACTTAACAGTTATCAGAAAATTTGCTGAAAGGAGATAAAGGATAGGAGCAATAGCAGTCAAGGTGAACTAGGAGGGTTTGAAAGGAGAATGCAAAGACCAGGAAAGAATGTAATCACTGGTGAAGCTATGCCAATAGAAGTGCTCATTTTCCTCATGAGCCCGAGGAAGAGGAGCACCATGGCAACATGGTCTTGGGGGTAAAATGGCAGTGTGCTCAGGTCTGGCTGAACTACAAAGCAGTGGGCAACTGCTGCAGAAGGATACCGCCCCCATCTCTTCTCTGTATTGATGCTCCAGGATAAAGCCCATTCACCCTCTCCTAGTTTTGATTCTGCTTAAGAAGTTCCCGTGATTAATGATATCACATCTTCAGGTGTTGGCATATTATCAATAGACATTTGCTGACTTTGGTTATAAACAACATTTTCTCATATTCTCACAGAAGAGACAGAGACAAACAACAAAGATAGTCCCAGAGGAGCATACGTAGAGTGTGAATGTACATAAGCAAAAGGCAAACAGTAAGCTAAAGCAAAAGTATAGCAAATGTTATTTTAAAACATCAATAATGTATGCAATTGAGTTAGAACTTAGCTAAAACACAGAAGGACAGTATTTGTGCTCTTTTTTTTTTAACTAATATTATGAAGCAAAAGACTATATGTAGAGTTCTTTGTAAACTTTTAAGGCACTACATGTTAGCTGCCAGTTATTATTATATTTCTCTTCACTGTTTTTCAACAAGTCCCTAGCAAAAAGCCTAAAAATAACAAAACATAGATAAATGAATGTTTTAAAAATTGTCCTCAACTTCATTAAATTTCCCATGACATTTTATCTTGTATATACAATATTCTGCCTCAATTTTGAATAACACTATTTCTCACTCCCAAGGTTGGTTTGGAGGAGGGGTGTTGTTTGTTTTTTTTTAAATATTATCTTCATTTTTATGTACCTTTAAATTCTCTTTGGGTGCTTGTCTCAAGTTGCTGTGACTGTGCCACTGTTTTCAAGAGTTCCTGAATTACTACCCGATCACTATTTCCAGCATCACTACATAAAATAAAAACACATAGAAAGGAATGTAACAATTATTTTTAATTGGTTAATTTGACAAAATTTGTAAGACTCCCTCCTCAGCCCTCCCTCACTTACATCTAATTCACTTGCATGTCATGGCATCACCTCCCCGATGTCATGGTCCTCTTCAAGAATGAAGGACAAACAATAACGACACTCACTACCAAACAACTCAAAATGATTTGACTTCAGCACACAGCACAATAAACCTCATAACACAGCAACTTATATAATTAGCCCTTAATCAACCACTCAACAAATCCTTAGATACATTCATTAGACTTAAAGGTAATATGATTTCTCATTAGTTTTACTGAACAAGGTACCAGTAATTGGTTACGTTATAGACAACACTGGACTCAAGGTGTCTCACCCACATCTTTGCTTTAAGTTTATTGAGAAGCTGACGATGAGGACAACAACCATAACACTGCAGTCGTTATGTGGCCAGCCTGACTACAGCCCTTCTTTGACTCGGTAGATGTAGACCAAAATTCATCACTCCAAAAACAAGACAAAAAACAAAACAAAACAAAACCCTGAGGATGAAGCTCTTAGAACACAGTGATCCTGGGCTTTGAACAGCAGTTCATCAGGGCATTCCTTCTTGGTAGGACCTATCAGAGCCTGGCCCCTGATGATATAACCTTTGTATAATATGCTGTGCCCACAAAGGAACTTCAGTGGAGTCCAAACAAATTTCTGCTTAAGTATTTATTAGACTGACATTAGATTACAGCATTGTAGACATCCCCTTGCTTCTACTTTCATACTGAGAAACTTCTTAAATTCAGATACTTAACTATCCTCTCCTTGAAGAAAGAAATAAGAAACAAACCATGCAAAAATTTGAGTCACACCCAGCATGGAGTAGATAAATGAAGGAATTGGCTAGATAGAATGGGAAAACTGGACAACATACTAGCTACTCCTTAAGTAAATCTTTCCAATGTGACTTCACTGCAGGCAGTCCTTGATTCACAGATTCTGACTTGTAGCACTCTGACATTCACCGTTGAGGTTTTACAATGAGAAAGAGGGAAGCAAACAAACCACCACAGATCACTCCCTAAAAAAACTTGTAAGTAGCAAAGTCTCCTCAAAGATGTCCTTTCGAATTCCATGACCCCAATGGTGTTTCTCCCTCTCATTGTTGTTGCAGAAATTGTGAAAGAAACATAAAGTTCAGTGCCTACTCCATTGCCTAATTATGGTAATAAAGGTAATACTTCTTTCTTTTTTTAAAATTTTTTAAAATTTTAAATAGTATTTTATTTTTTCCAATTACATATAAAGACAATTTTTAAGATTTTTTAAAAAAATTTTAAGTTCCAAATTTTCTCCCTCCTTCTTTTCCTCCCCCTCCATAGGAAGGTAAGAATTTTAAATAGGTTATCTATATGCAATCATGTAAAATGTATTTCCATATTAGTCATGCTGTGAAAGAACCACAAAAAAGATGAAGAAAGTGAAAATAGTATGCTTCAATCTGCATTCAGGCTCTATCAGTTCTTTTTCTGGATGTGGATAGCATTTTTCCACTATGAGTCCTTGGAACTGCTTGGATCATTGTACTGCCAAGAAGAGCTAAGTTATTCATAGTTGATCACACCACAATGTTGCTATTACTGTGTACAATGTTCTCTTGGTTCTGCTCATTTCACTTTGCATCAGTTCATGTAAGTCTTTCCAGGTTTTTCTGAACTCACCTGCTCATCATTTCTTATAGCACAATAGTATTCCATTACATTCATAGACCACAACTTGCTCAGCCATTCCCAAATGATGGGCATTACCTCAATTTCCAATTCTTTGCCACCACAAAAAGAGCTGCGATAAATATTTTTGTACACATAAATCTTTTCCCCTTTTATGGTAAGCCTTCTTTCTCGAAGGCCATGCCAATAAAATGGAAGCTCTGGTAAATCCTATACCAAGTTGGAAAGGTTATAGGTTACATGTCTGCACTCTGAGGACTAGCCTAGCTAAGTTCAGAAAGGCTCATCCCTAGGCTGTCAATAAGTTGATGATATTTTTTTAGCCATAATAACTCTTAAAGACTATTAAATTATAAAGAGGTTATTTCCATCAGTGAAAGGATTGCCCTGCAGATAAGACAACAAATCCCTGAATCACTGAAATGATATACATGTAAGTGCCTATTTGCCCTGTTTTTAAGAGATTTAAAAAGCTCTATAAATATAGAGGACTAGTTTCTAACATGGGGCATATGTTACAACCACTGAAATATGTTAGAATTTCCATTTATATTTATTTCTTATTTTAAAAAGTGAGAAAGTAAGCTTTACTAATATTTAATATGCAGATTAACACTGCTGCCATCACTCAGTCTGTACATCAAATGGTCACATGTTTCATATAGCAAATGCAGTACCCTGAAGGAAAAATAAGAGTTCAACAATGCAGGGGACTTGACAGTTGTGCCCACACTCATTCGTTTTAAAATATCATGATATATTACAATTTACTTGTGAACACTTAAATGGATTTACAGATATTTTGAGTTTGCACTATATTTTCCCTGACAAAATGGACAAAAGGCTTAAAATGATTCCTGCTAAGAAAATATGGATTGAAGGATATACTAATAATGAGGGTACAATCAAAGAATAACAACAACAAAAAAAGACAGAGCTGATATTTCTATATCTATACTAACGGTACACACCAATCAGCCACATTATAAAGAAAAAACAATGACTAATCAGATCATATAAAAAGAAACTCAAACTTGAAAAATTATCAAGGATTTACCACCAAATTGCTAAAGATGAACCTCACAAGTATATACTATGACTTGAGACATGGGCTAATGAGAAATTGAAGCCACCACCACTAGCAAGACATTTTTAAATATTTTTGTTGCTGAAAACAATGTCATCTATACAACAACAACAACAAAAAACCCCACAAAAACAAAACAAAAAATTCCTCTCATCTGCACACAAATGGCAATAGATTTAGCATGATTAAAAATCTTCCAAATAAAGAGTTTCAGTAAGTTTTGAAATGTTTATTGAAAATATAAAACTGCAATAACTTCTGGTTAATGTGTAAGAAAAAGTGAATGACATCAGGGAAGATGGAAATTTACCAGGCGAATTTTCAACAGAAAAAAAAAAATCTTTGTACAATTAATGTACAGATTGAAAATGAGTATAATGATTTAGAAAGTGTCAGCCATGATACATTTTTTTCCATCTGGATCCACCTACCATTGTGAGGAGGTATTTTTTCCAACAATGACAGTCACAAAAACTAATCATTGAAATAAACTGAACTTAGAATCAGACCTTCAAATCACTGTATAAATGTTAATCCAAGGCTTTCAAAAAATGAAGCATATTCAATCATATTCTCTCAATAAAAACAGTATGTTTTAGTGAAAGCAAAAAAGGTTTTTTAGACCATGAAAAAATTGAAAACACTTAATCTTTACCTCAATCTTTTTTTTTGTAACATATGTAATATGAATATAGTAATAAGTGTATGAAATTTATAAATACACATATATACATACAAAGTCTGCACAAAAATTTTTTACTAACAAAGGTATGAGATCAAGAGTTTGGAGACCGCTGGTGTAGAAAGTAGAGGTACAGCAATGACATCTGATTGAAAATACTAAAGAGATTGCTTTTAGTCATTTCTATAAAAAGATGAGCACTAGACTCATCATCCAGAACATGCCAATGTTTCTCCAGGATGATGAGATGCAGTTTGCATTTTCCATTTTCCAGGAACTTAATCTGTTGTAAATTCTAACATGTGCTGTATTTTATAAATGTATTCTCAGAAGAGCAGAAGCATTTAGGAGTCACTAAACTATATTCATGAACAAATACAAATGATTTTTTGATTAGTCACCACTTTGAACTACTCATACCTTTTATTTTTCTTCATCTATAAAAATAATCAAGGTAACTATTAAGTTTGGAAATTTAGATGTATAATTTTTTCTAGGAATTGTTTTTCCCTTTTCTGATATTACTAATTATTTTAAAAACATTATGTTGATAAGATTTTTTTTTTCATACACACACATATGAACCTCAGTCCTAGCATTGTGCCTTGTACATAACAGGAATTAAATAAGTGCATATCGACTATTTTGTTGATTAACCTATATAAAGCATAATTTGGTATGAAAGAGAGCTATCTTGGATCTCATTCAAGGGAAATGAGTTACTAAAACACAAAAATAATTTCATTCTAAGGCTCTTTTACCCATGAGGCAGTCATATGGCAGAGTATTGTTCTCCAAACTTGACCATTCCTTCCTCTTATTGTCTGGAACGTAAACCTCCTTGCTTATCTAAATCTCACACCCAAACTAATTAGCCTCAATTCATCTTTCATGTGTGAAGCTACTTTTTCAAATCCAAATACAAAATTATATGCCTACACATGAATTTATAAGTTCCATACAAATGCTACTACATTCATATTACATACATTACAAAACAAACAGAAAATATTAATGTCTTTTGTTATTTGCATCATTGTTCTTCGTTTCTGAAGAGGACCCCAATGACATCACAGGGGATGTCTTAACTCCTTTGTGAATTGGATTTAAGTGAGACAGAGTTGCATAACGTCATCAGTCTCATGCTCTCTCTGAGAGTCATTGAAGTCCAGCAGCAAGACAAAAGTCAAGATGATGGCCCAGGATGCAGCGGATGACCTTGGTGTCCTGACCAAGCTCTCAGTGCTCCAGAGCACCTGCTTCAGCCGCCTTCATGGCCATTGGACAAATTGTTCTCATCCACCCATTCCACCAGAGGAAGTCTTCACATGCTTAGGGTAGATATCCCCCCTAATCTACTGACAGATTTAAGGCCCTTCAGTTACCCTCAGCCTGTCTGCTGAGACTACCTGACAAGATGTGGCTGTTGCACATGCTATAACTTCTTGGAACCATAAGGTGAGAGTTGAGCATCAAGTAGACACCAAAGGTGGATAAGCAGCCTTGAAAAGGTTCTGCAAGCCCTTACACCAGAGGTTTAGTCCTCCCTGAATACCCCCCTGAAAACCCCATATGCCCCATTTCTATAGTAATCTAATTTTTAAAGTGCTGACACATATATCACCTTATTTGATACTTACAATAAGCTAGTTAAGTACATATAGAAGGCATTATTATTCTCTGCCTACTAGCTTAAAAGTCCTTAAAGGCAGGAACTCTATGATCTTTGCCTCTACTCTAGCGGCTAATGTAGAATTGCACACAGTAGGAGCTTAATAAATGTTTGCTGAATGAATACTCATTTTACACCTATGACAGATACGCAGAGAAGTTAGAAGAACTACCTAAGATCAAAATCAATCAACCAACAAACATTTGTTAAGATTTGGGGATACAAAGACAAAAGTAAAACCTTCCCAAACACCAAAGACCTTACATTCTAACAGTGGAGACAGTGTGTGTGTGTGTGTGTGTGTGTGTGTGTGTGTGTGTGTGTGTGTG